GTCGCAACCAGGGCAAGAGCAAATAGAGTGGTTCAACAACAGGGGCCGTATCAGGCCGGTGGAGATAGGGGGGGGGGCTTGCGCAGTATGCCGACGGGCATTTTGCACTTTCGTTGCTTCACTAGTTCTGGTTTACAAGTCTCACTCTGGTGAAACCTGTGAACTCTTGTGAAGCTGGAGCAAGCTCGTCAAGCCATCATGGTAAAACCTGTCAACTCGAGAAGAGGCTGTCTAGATGGGTCGACACGTCGATGGGAAGTCGTTAAAGTGCAAAATGCCCCCCCCCCCCCCTCCCCGTCGGCAAACAGCGCCGAGGGAAGCTTATCTAGCCGATGGAGATGAGGGAGGCGTACTCGGCTTGCGAATTTTTTTGATAGTCAATTTTTTCTGTTTCACGCCTGCTATCCATAATGCTGGAAGAATTCCTGTAGGTGATCGTGATCATTTGGCGGCGACCTTCAGCCCCACTCGATGGCAGTTTTTTAAAGAAAAGCTAGAAAATCTTTTAGAAAAGTGGCAGCGAGTAGGAAAAACTCAGTAAGATCGCAGGTAGCATGGGGAGGGGGTCGTAAATGGCAAAAATTTTCCCTAACGGTAGGAAGTGCCCTGGTCGCAACGCTGAATCTTCAAAAGGGACCCCTTCGAGGCTTACACCATGGCCCTTTCGAGTCGATGGTGTTGGAAGACACGTAGAAGGGTAGGATTTCCGGACAATTCCTCCATCTGATTGGTCTATGGTTCAAAACCCGGTATGCTTGTTTCAGAACACGTTTTACAATATGAATAAATTGCTGATAATAAACTGACCTTCTATAGCTGCCACAACAAATTGTACTGAATTTACAGCTACGCCTACTTTCAGCTGCCACAGGCAATGTTCAAAGTCGTATCGGTGCATATTGGAAAAGATATACCTGATTCTGAAACGGACACCCAGTTATGCTCAAACTAGCCTAACTTGAAGGCATAGTCCGCGCTGATCGTATGGGCGGGGTCACTTGGACAACCACGCCCGTCACACTGATGGGCCTCTTTTTTGACAGCTTCACTCATACTTCGCGAGTCGAGCGATTCAGTCGTAAGACTGCAATTCTACCGCTAGTCAGTACCGCTGCAACTGCCAATTCAATAACATTTACGGTAAAACTTCTTTCGACCGTTGCAGCCGTCCAGCGACTAGCCGTAGAGCGCGTCGCTTGATTCACAAATCGCGCCACTGAGGCGCTCGAATCGCGAAGTATAAATGTGGCTCTAGAAGAAGCAACATATGGGGAGAAAAACGCAGATCTAAGTGGCCCATACATTCAGCGTGATATACAGTAATGATAGCAGTTCTAGACAAATTCTTACCTGGATGCGTCGTGAGTGCCAAGTAGACAGAAGGCCTCATCCCGATCGATTCGCGGATGATGATAAGTACCAACTAAGGCCCAGTTCCTGAAAAGCCTTTGTCACCAAATTTGGCAAAATCACGTAAACCAACTGTTTCACTTTGAAGGTAACCGGCCCAGTGATAGAGGTAAACTCTGCGGAGGTAAACAGGCTATTCAGACTGTAGCAATGGTACAAAAGCTGCCAGAAACGACCAGAAATGGAGGCAGTCACATCGGAGGGGTCAT